TTTTTTTTTTTTTTTTTCTGTAAGTGATCAATTAATCACTAGAAATAGACATGCGGTGCACCTGGAAGTGGACCAAAATATCCGGGAGCCAAATGCTTCCAGTCCGGCAGCAGAAGGGGACGCCTGGCGAAGGCTCGTGGGCCCAGCTTGGTGTGGAGCAGGAGACGGGGGGCTCCTGCTCCCGTCTCGACTGTGTGAGGAAGACCTGGATGTGCCTCCCGCTGTTCGGTGAGTGACACTTAAATGGTAGCGCTGTTTGGGGATAACGATGAAAACTAACGGCTATGCTTTTCACTGACAGAGCTAGACTGGTCCAAGAAGCTTGAGGTGGACTATTTTTGGACTTGACTTTGAGAACTTCCAGGCCCATATTTGACCTTGTTGGGAAGTTCCCTAAGCCCAAGCGTTGAGAAGAGGACCACCTGGGCGGTCCATCGTGAGCTGAAATGAACAACGTCGATTTCACGGTAACTGCCCTATATTGAGCAGGGACCCTGCGCCGGATGTTGCTGTGCTGCTTACCATGCATCAGCACGTCTGGTCCTCACAACCATTCTGTGAGCAGTACTCTAGGATTCCCATTTTTCAAAAAGCAAATTAAGATTCCTATAGTCTTAGGTGCTGGCCCAAAGCCACCTAGTGACTTGACCTGGCTTTTTTTTTAGAAGTTCCAAATCAGCACAGACATGCCATAAATGCAGGTCTGAAATATAGGAACTGTCATTTCTTTCCCTAAACCAACCAATGTCCTGTGGGAGGAAACAGTCCTAAGTCTGTGGCTTTTTTTTTTTTTTTTCCAATTTTCAATGGATTTCTTCTTCTTGATTAGGAAAGGTCTCCTCTTCTTGTGCAGAAACTCACCAGCGAGTAATGGAGAACCTTTCCAGCAAATTAGGAGACTTGAGAAATAGAAAATCCTTCATTTACCGTTGGAAGACCAGCGCATTTCCAAATAGACTTTAAGCCAACACTACATAAATTCGAATTTCCTTAGAGGCAGCAGTTTTAATGTTGATAATCTCTAAGAGCAGTACTATTGGGTGGTTTCTGAGTAAACTTTAGACTCTCAAAAGTTTAGTTTTAGTGGTTTAATAAAACCTGAATCTGTATAGTTCTTTTAGCCGGGAAGTCTGAGGTCGAAGCACCCCTGGCCATCAGCTCACCACGCTCGTTTCACATGCGTTGCCCAGAATCTCTGGTAGAGACAGTCACCCCGTGAAGCAGCCGCTCTTAGGTGAGTAGTCGGGTCTGGGGTGAGGGCAGAGGTGAGGGGGGGCTACCAAAGCAGTCCCTTAGGGGGACGGCCACCACGTGGCTGAATGGCTGGATAGGATTTTCAGAGTTAACTTCCTAAATTGTACTGGGGCTGCTGTGCAAAGCCAGACTGGGCCTCCGAGAACTCAAAGGTACTGTCGGTAGGCAACCCCTCTCCTGTTGGATCTTTATCTTGCCACAGTGGATGAAAGGTCCACCTGGATCTTCCCCGCAGCAGTGAACAGCCCCAGAAAGGAGTCCGTGTGGAACATGGCCTGCCAGGGCCCACTAGAGCGCGGGGGTGAGGGCCCAGGGGCCATATCCTAACATCAGCCACCCCTGACCAAGTCTGTTCCTCTAAGAAGCCAGCTGTGCGGATTCACAGGTCAGATGGAGGGAAAGGCCTCAGTTACTTCCTCGGCTTTTCTCGGTCCCTCGGTAGGTGGAGAGGCCTGCGAAGGATCATACCGATGACTGCTCTGGCCTCCCTACCCAGCCTCTTCACAGCACCGCACCCCAGGGCCCCACCCAACGCAGTGGGTGTCTTTGAAGGGAGTCAGGCATGCAGTGCAGGGATCCCAGCACGCCTACCAGGCTGAATCCCTTTTTAAAAACCCCAGACTCAGGCAATTAGAAGGAACGTTTTCAATATTTTATTAACAAATAAATTGGTAGAAGAACAATTTCTCTGGTAATCTCACCCCCCCCACCACCCCCATTTAACGTCCAGCATGTGGCCGCCATGATGGTCGGTGTCTAACCTGCTCTGCTAGCTGGGTTCTCAGCAGCCCCCTCGGCCTAGTTCAGTCATCCTCCCAAGGACTTTGGGGCAAGGAGAAAACTCCCCTCCTCAAGAGGGCGAGAGAGAGACAGAAGCTTCTGCTTGGAGGCCAGGGCCACAAAGGCAAGCCAGGCCTTATTCCTTTTGGAGGAGGGGCACAGGTTCTTCTTCTTAGGGCAGAGCACTTGTGCCCGCCCCCATCCGCCTTCCGGAGGAGGTGAGCCCAGCGTGAGAAAGCCCTGAGCGGAAGCTCAATGTTACGAGGACACCACTCTTTCCTCTTAGACCTGCTAAGAGGGCACCCGGCGATCTCTGTCAGCAGAGTGAGACTCTAGGACTAAAACAAAAGCCGAGCAGGAGCCCCTGTCTTGGCAAAACCTTGGGTGGATCAAATCGCAACACTGCACAGACCTAGTATCTACAGCGGTGAAGTGAGCAGACCGTCAACCTGTTGGGGAGTACGGAGGAGGAAGAGACTATTCCAGGTAAAACACTTGGTCGTCGAGCACCTTTTGTCCAAGAAGCTTGGCAGTAACTCTATACCATGTCCTCAATTCTTCCACGAAGACAGCGTGACCAACTCATCTCCGGGGTCCTCAGGGCAGGCGTTTGAGCTCAGTCTTCTTCCTCTAATGTCCGATAAAAATAACCCTACACGTGCATTATGTCTCTTCATAGTGTATTTACAGTAAGTAAAACGGCCCGCCAGGCACACTCATGCCCTGCAAAATTGTAACAGCTGCTCAGGGACGCTCGTGCCCGTCACCAAGGCAGCAGGGTCCCCTGAGACTCCGAGAGGGATGAATGCACGGGGCGGCTGGCTCTGCTAGCGGGCCGCCCGGGGCCCACACCCCGTGCACAGCAGTGGCCTCTCAGAAGCAGACGATCCGCTTCTCATCTTGGAAGACTTTGGCCTCCTCTGGCTTTATCAAGTTTCCATTTAGGCTGTCGGGGAGAAACAAAGAACACAAAACATTAGCGGTTTGTAGGAGCCTTCCCGGGACGTGTTCCCGACACCCTCCTGTTCTTCACGTGGCCCAGAAGTTCCGGAACGTGCTCCATTCAGACACTTGCTTGGTAAGATTACTCCCTTCCAGCTGTCGTCGCTCTATGAACTGGGTCTCACTAAGGTCACCAATAGCCTCTAGGAGCCTGAACTTCATGACCTTGTCTCAGGCCTTGTCTGTCCCTTCCTTCACGGGCGTTTGGCTGTTCTCTCCCCTGCCTCCTTGAACCACCACATTTGCTCGGCTTGATTTCTTGCTCTCTGGTTTTCTCCTGTGTCTGCCACTCCACCTCCGTCTCCTCTCCCATGTTCTCCCGTACGTGGCCTCTAGATACTGGATTTCCTCTAGACTGGGGGCTTGGCCCTTTTCCCCAGCTGACGTCATCCCTACGTGAGTGGACCTGCGGCCCAGACCTCTCCCGTGTGGCTCCACTTACTTGACATCTTCACTTGGATGCCGCCCAGGGACCCTGGCTCAGTGCACAGGACCACTCTTTATCCATCTGTGCAAGGTAGCGACCTGGGGGTCGGCCTTGACCCCCTCATCTTCATAGTCTATCACAAAGTTCTATCTTATTCCCTAAACATCCCCAGAGTGCCTCCCTGGGACCTTTCCACGTCCTCACCACCACCATGGTGGTCTGAGCGCCATTGTCTCTTCTCTGGAGCGCTGCAGTGCCCTCCTGCCTGGTCCCTTTACATGTACTCTTCTGGCCTCTTCAAATCCATTTTCCTGGAGGAGCCATAACGGTCTTTGTAATGCAAATCTGATCATACCCCTCTTTGCTTCACACCCCTCCACGACTTGCCATTGCTTTTAGGATATAGACCCGAATACGTGGCACGACCCACAGATCTCTTATGGTCTAGTCTACCCCCTCTCCTCTGCCCCCTGTTGCCCCTCCTCCTGCACCGTCTGAACCCCAGGGCCCACGGACATCTTGCCGTTTTTCAAGGGCACCAGCCCCTTCCTGCCTCCGAGCCTTGGCATTATGCTATACCCTCTACCAGTCAGCCAATCAGACCTTCACATTTACTCGGCTGAATTTTGTCTAACAGACTTGGTGGCAGCGTTGGGATCTGAAGCGAACTTCCTCCGGGGCCAAGAAGACCCACAGGCAGGGCGCCCTGCCAGCGCGCTTCTGAGTTCAAGGTCAGCCTCGACCGTTTCCCCATGTTTCCGGGGTGCCACCGGGGAGTCCCTCTCCATTTGTACTCCCCTCCTTGCACCGGAGCTCCCGCCCTAACAGGCTTGCCAGTCTAGGGTTAACGGGTCAGCACAGAGCGATGGGGGTGGGATGGGGGGCGGTTCTCACGGAGCACCAGCCCTTACCCTTGGGTCAGCCCGCCAGTTCACGTTGGAATTCCTCCTCAGCTCCCATCCGCAGTCCCCATTTCCAGTCTGCAGTCTCCGTAGTGGAGACCACTGGGCGGGTCCGTGCTGGGAATGGCCGGTGGTGGGCACAGCCTTCTCTCTGCCAGCCCAGTCCGCGGTTAACAGGTTTTGGTTACCGCTGGCGTGTGAACGTTTGGGTTGTTTGGTGTAAACAAAGGCTCAGCTAACGGGATCCTTAAATTTTACAGACATGCCACCTTCCAGCCCACCTGCCCATTTTATGTCTGAACACGATGGTGCCAGGACCTGTGAATACCTACTGAAATGGCAAAACGTTACCAAAAACCACCTAGAAGTACAACGGCCACTATGGGGAACGTTCCCATTAGGCGTGAGGGCATTTAGAAGCGCATCTGAGAGCACGGCTTCCCCAAGTAAAACGCATTGGGATACCTGCGTAAATTGCTGCGTAAAGCAGCAGCTCTGAAAGGTTTCACGATTCCAAAAACAGTTTCATTAAAAGGTTAATTAAAAGATTTAGCAAGAGACTAAACACGACACCACAAATATTAGTAACGTAGGGTCTTTGCATCTGCGTGTTTGTATGTATGTTATAAACACGACATATTGTCCCACCTCTGGATGGTACTGCTGACGTTAATTTGTAAAAGAGCTCTAGGCAGTTGGTTTTGTAGGGGCCAAGGACAGGCTGCTCCAAAATGTGCTGCGCTGGCATCCTGAAAAAATTTGTCGTAATGTTTTTCTTTCTTTTAGAGAGAGAGAGAGAGAGCACAAGCAGGGAAGGAGCAGAGAGAGAGGGAGATACAGAATCCGAAGCAGGCTCTGAGCTGTCAGCACAGAGCCCCACAGGGGGCTCGAACTCGTGAACCAGGAGATCATGACCTGAGCCAAAGTCGGATGCCCAACCAACTGAGCCACCCAGACTTCCCCATGGCATACTGATTATTTTGAATAAAACTTATTTAAGAGACAGCCTGCGCAAGAAGGCCATTCGGACCCTCCTCTGTCCCCTGGAAGCAGGAAGTAAATCTCCCATCTGAAAGATTACCCTCCCTTTACCAGGGAGGTAAAGAGACCTTATTACCAGATAGGAAATTTAGAGGCAAGAAAGCTGTATAAACACCCCTTGTTAATTTTTACTAATATATATCACACCCCAAATTCTGTCGACAATTCCTTACTAATTGGAACTCCTGAAGTTAATTGAGTTTTCTTTGTCCTGCAGATTTTTTTTTATGTTTACTTATTTATTTTTTAGAGAGACAGGAGGAGACACAGAATCAGAAGCAGGCTCCAAGCTGTCAGCACAGAGCCCGACGCGGTGCTTGAACCCATGAACCGTGAGATCATGACCTGAGCCCAAGTCGGTCACTTAACCTACTGAGCCACCCAGGGGCCCTGACCTGTCAATTCTTCATGGATTCATTTATTGTCTCTTTGTCTACAAAGTAGAAAAACTGCCTGCCTTGGCCATTTTGGCCCACTGTGCACTCATAATAAAACTCTGTGGTTTTTTTCCCCTGGTTAATCTGTTTTATGCAAATTTAACTCTTAGCCCAGCTGGAAGACCTTGAAGGGTAGAGGACGAATTTCTCCTTCCCTTTGGTTGGCATTATCGGCAGGATACTGACTCACGGGACAGGTGCTTGCCTGGTATTGCTGCAGCTGAGATCCTGGGACATCTGACGTGTAGCCAGCAGAAGGTGGGATTTCTGACCACGTCGGCCTCCAGCCACCTCTGTCTGCGGGGTCTGGTGGAAGGAGTGTGGTAAGAATCCTTCTGTCTCCAGATTTAGTTAGCAGGAGAAAATACTGTAGAACCAGTTCCTTGGGTGTAGCCACTTCTGGTAAAAACGTGGTAGAATACTCCTTGGCTACTGATCATTTCCTCCCAGAGACGGTCACTGTTTTGTCCGTGTCTTCTGTGTTGAGTGTCACGGAGAGGAATTATCGTAGGACAGAACACAGGTATGGGCCCTGTAAACGCGCCGCTGGGGCCCGCCTCACAGACTAGCGAGGTCCCAGTCGCATCGGACCCGTGGCCATTTACACAAACCTTGCTGTGCTTAACGCGCACATGGGGTACAGGCTGTTGCTAGGAAACATCTTGGAAGCCAAAGCCACGAGTGGTCACAAGTCAGGCACCTAAAAGCTGTTAGAGTGCTTGTCATCTAACTCAAAGAACCCCCAGTAGGAGAAATTGGTCATGGAACGGGGTAGATTAAGCAAACATCTGGGGGGCAAGGTACACTGTGAAACACCGAAGGCACATCTCTCCTACGGATTAGTTTGGCCCCAGAGACCCAAGGCATAGGCGGGGCTGTTAATATGAATATAAGAGAATTTTGCTTTCATCTGGTTCTGTGTCCTAAGAGCTTGGCTTTGTGACCTTTCTCTGGTTTCTGTCACGTGGAGGGCGCACCTACCAGGGTGCACCGTGGTGGCCAGTCCAACAGACCGGGGACCCAGAAACACAGTTATAAGCAGCGTGCTCTGTCGGGGCCGTGCCGCCTCCCAAGAAAGTGTCAGGAGAGGTCCAAGCCCATAAGGGCCTCTGTTGCCTCAACCGCTTGCTTGTAAAGTGCTGGGAAATGCCACTCCATTAGCGTCTGCCTGTCCCAGATGAGCCTGGAAGTGTCTCACATTCTGGGGAGACGGGAGACACAGCACACGTGACCTCACTCTTCCGGCCGGCACAATGAAGCTGTCTGCTTTCTCAGCCTGGTCCTGGAAGTAAACTTTTGGGTCACGGGGGCTGCCTCGTCTCTGCCCCTCTGGGACACACCTCTTTGGAGTTTTCCGTTAAGCCGCTTATGGTTTTGAGTCGCTACTGAAATTAGTAACATCCTATTTGTCAATGGCCAGGTACCAGATCGTTTAAATTGGCTATTGGAAAAAAAAAAAAAATTCTTTATAAAAAGCTCTCAGTTATCTTAGAACGGCTAGCCTTAGGGATTCCCTTGACAACATAAAAGAACAAAAATTAGACTTAAGACAGATAAGTGTCCACCTCCGATGAAAACTCCCCTCTTAACATCCAGCCTGACCTCTAGGCTCAAAGTATAAAGGCTACTCTTTATATTTACTCTTTCAGTAAATGCTGAAAGCCAGAAAGTGACTTTAACAGAAGCACCAAGCACCTAGGACGACACAGGAGGGCTTGGTTTACCGTAATCGACCTCTGTCGGCCTTAGACTTTTTTGGACAATTGCCTTTGCAGATGTCTCCTGCCCCAATGCATGCCCCCCAAATGGCAGGAAATCTTCTATAAAGCCCTTTTCCTCCACTTTCAGAAGATCCTACCAAATTTAGAGAAACATTAAAAAGATTTGACTATTCACCCACCTCCCCTTCACAGAGGAAAGAGATGACCAATAACATTTCTGCTTGGCCTTCTGACAAATGATCAGAGGAAGGTTGGTGTTCAGAGGCTAATAGAAGCCAAGGTTGACGTGTGTAACCGTGAAGAAGGCTTTTTGTTAAAATGCTTTGTACCATTCTGTTCATTCCCATTAATCCCCCTGATATATAGAAGCAAATTTAGGGGCACCGGGGTGGCTCAGTCAGTTCTTGGTTTCAGCT